TGAAAAAAAAAATTGTCTGAGTGAAAGGAAAAAGTTCTATGTGCAAGTAATTCCTGAACATTAATAACATAACAAAGAAATAAACAAAAGAATCTTAAAACAATCTTACTTCCTGGGATTTCTTGGTACAGCAGGCTATGCATTATTAGCTTTTCAGATCTTTACAATTCAGTTTAAATTATTATTCAGATTCATGTTTGACTGTTTTATCCAAATTCCCATTTGTGCATATTACAAAACTGTAGTACCTTCTGGCTCAAGCTACTAGACCTTCACTTCCATGAATGCAAAGTTTACACACAGAAAGGTTCCAAGAGTGCTCTACGAAAGAGATGGCTTTCTCTGTATGTAGAAAGTTAGTTAATAGATAGTGTGCCAGTAGATGGCGCTCAAGAAAATACTAAATTGTTCCTAGGTTCTCTATGCCCCAGGTTGTCATTGTTGTGCATTGCAAATGGCTTCCAGCATGAAACTCTTTACATGGAGCTTTTAACAAGAATTTAGAGGCAAAATGTGAACCCATGTCTCATAGACTCATAGACTTTAAGGTCAGAAGGGACCATTATGATCATCTAGTCTGACCTCCTGCACAATGCAGGCCACAGAATCTCACCCACCCACTCCTGTAACAAACCCCTAACCTATGCCTGAGTTATTGAAGTCCTCAAATTGTGGTTTAAAGACCTCAAGGTGCAGAGAATCCTCCACATGGAGCCCTTCAACATAGCCATGAGCGTGTGCACAAGCATGCACACACAGAGTTAAATGAAAAACTAACAAGCCTTCCATGAAAATGCTCACTAAAGCCATTATTTACAATACTTAACATTTAAAATGTATTTACTTTTAAGGTGTTTTTAAAGGCTGCAAATGGAAATATATTTAAAGTAAAACTCTCAAAATATAAATAATCCTGAACCGGCAGGCCCTACATGCTATCTAACATTTTTCTTATAGTGCTCTGGAATGTCCATCTTCTGTTTACATGGATATTTCAGTCCCCAAAAATGCTTCATTAAACTTTTACTCTTAAACATGTCTGTAACCCTGAACTCAAGAACTACAGTAATAAACCAATGAGTTGCTGCACCATAAGAGGAAAATATTGGAAAAAAAATCTCATGCATCTTTAAAGCTCAGTTTCATCTGACATGGGACCACAAACACTAAATTGCCTTAATCATAAGCTTTTAGCCATTGCATGGTATCATCTCAGGGCACAGTTAAGGTTGTTTTTTCTGCTTTCACTGTGCATTTCCATCCATGTTTAGATGTTTCAATTTCTTTTCATTATAATATTTCCTGGATCTGTAATGCTTGGGTTTTGGATAATTACAACATCTCTTAATTTACAGATACGTACTCTGAGCCTAGGTTGTTTTTGTGTGTGTGTGTGTCTGAGAATTATAATAAAGTTATTTCACTAATGTTGGAAGAAAGTGATTTTCTGCGATTCCTTACCCAGTCTCATGTGACTACAGCAATCAGCATGCCATGCAGACATACACCAGGTACAGCACATATTTGATTCCTTATGACACAGCTTTTTATCATTATATTACCACATCTCAGACTGATTAAACATTCATCATCAGTGTGAACTAAGGCAGGCTTTCTCAAGCTGTGGGAGCAGCCAATTGGTGGGACCTGGACAGTGTCTGAGTAAGGTCTCAGTCTTATCTAATTTTCAAGATTGTAAGTGAAAAGAGGGAACAAATTTAAATTGCTGCATGGGATTCTCTTTGGATTTCCTGTGTACTAGTTCCTGGTTAAATTCTCTTCCATGCATCTCACAAAGGCTGCAGTGATTGAGCAGAAGTTGCCCTGGAGTGTCTCTTCCCAGTTGCCAGGCATGGCTGTGGTTCTTGTTTTGAGGGCCAGAAGACTCTCTTGCTACCATCACCCTGTGATCTCTTTGTCCAGCAATTGTGTGAGGAGAGCGAGGAAGAGGCAATGACTAGTAGCCTGCTGCCTCCAAAGCTTACAAGCAGGGAGAGTAGGTGCAGATTTGGGGGCTCAATGTGTGGGGCATCAAGCTGATGGGACCAAGGGGGAATGATGAGGGGAAAAGCTGGGAATTCAGGAGCTCAGGAGGAGGGTATGTACAAGGTAAGGACCACAGAGGTTCTGCTTCATGACTCTGAGATTAGTCTCCAGTTTGAGTCATCTGGACAACCTATGTGCAGAGAAATAAGCTTTGCTGCCTCACTGAAACCTATACAGGCAAAGTGACCATTTTCTCTAACTCACCTGAAGGTGGGGCCTGAGTTGTTCAGATAAAAGTGAGACATGATGGTAAAATGAACCGCTGACAACCACTGACCCAGCATCCAGTATAACCGGGCCACATTACTGAACACTTTTTTGAGACTATGGAGGAAATCCTGCCCTCATTCATCTGTTGGTTCATACCACAGACCCGGGAAGGGATCTGGATGTGGGAAAGCTGATGCCCACTGCACCAAGGAGCCCAGCTCTGCAGGGGCTGCCTGAATGAATAGGTTTTTGGCACACGTGGTGGAGTATATCCACTGGCAAAGTCTCCCATGTAGGGGAGCAGCAGCGCCTTTATGACCTGCTGCAGTCCGGAGGCTATAGTAGCAACTGCGGTATTGGTGAAACCATGACGTGGGGGACAACGATGACTGCCTCCTCAGCACAAGGCCATATGCTCAGTTTGGGACCAGGATTTGACTGCATGTGAACAATTACACATTCACCAACTGTGCCATTTATGACCTGTTTGAATGTCTTTTTAAAATCAGTACAGTGTAGTAGAATGCCTAGATCCAATAGACTTTTACACTGCTGCAATCCTATCTAATTTTGTATCAAAAAGCATACAGCCAATATGTTATTAATTTACAGTAATTAAAAATGCAGTTAATATAAGTTATATTATAGTAACAGATCGAGACTTGCACAACATGTATTTGTTATCAATGCTTTATTATTGAAAACAAAATTGAAATTCTCTTAGCTGGCACAAACAATTATTTCTACAAAAAGGAAAGCCTACAAATCTTGATAATTTATACAAATAACAGTTTTTCAAAAAATAAAAATTTAATTGAGTAAACTTCCCTTGTGCTCTTTTATTTTTTTAGCACTGTCTGCAATAATCCACCATAAATCCCTGAGCAGAGACACATATTTTAAATACATTTTTAAATGATTCCAAAAGAAGAAAGTTAAGTCCTATATTGAAATATGTTCAGGGACATTCTTGTTAAACTTCCATTAGTCCTTTTTTCTTTCTTTTCTTGTTTTTTTTTTAAACAGACAGTTATCAATGCTACCATGAAAATATATCACCTATGAGTGTCACTCTGTTGTGCAATGAATAACCACTAAACAAGAATGAACACATGTTAAAAGGGAGAGACAAAGAATACAGTGAAAAGTTATGATCACCAAAGTTTGATGACTTGAAATAAATAAAGCTGCAGGATACCACAGTTATATACTGAATTCAGTCAGAGTCTAATATCTAATTTATTTTTACAATTTTTCAGAAACGCAGTGAAAGGCAATTTTTCAGACACCATTTTATTTTTACCATTGGCTTCAATGGGCAATGATGAAAAAGTTGAAATTCAACTTTTGAGCATTCCATGTTGCTTTCACAGCCATATTGTTATTTGACAAAAGGTTTGACACTTTCTTAAAAAAAAAATGCATCCCTTTTGGTATCCCCATTGTGAACCTTGTCATTAAACATAGCATTGCTAACTGGAGAGAAAAAGACAAAACACTATAACAAATTGTGACTATACCAACTTTGAAATAGTTACTTCTCAAAATCCTTTAATACAGATCTAAACCTGTAGTGTGTATGGGGAAAATGTACAATAAATTGTCACATTTCCCTTTAAGTACACATGCTACCCACATAAAAATGCAGCAAAAGCCAAATGAAGAAGATAGCAACAGTTGCAGACTACTGGCTTAATGAAAGAAAACGCTGCTGCAGTTGAGTAATAAATAAATAAATACCATACAGCAAACTATTCTCCCAGAAGTACACAGCAATGGAATGGTGCTCTATAGTTAAAAAAGAAAAAAAAAGATTTTTCATTATAAAAGGTTTTAACAGAGCCTGAAGAAGCTTGCTTCTCTTAAACGTGCTCCATCACTTAACGTTATATTTACCACTCGTGAAATGAGCATTGAAGCAGATATCAACAGGTCATTAAATGAAAAAGTAAATTTTCTTATAAATTCTAGTACTTTTTCCAACAAAAGAACGCAGTTAGCAAATGGTTTGGGAAAACACAGACTAAAGCTTCAATAGGCTGCAACTTATTTTACAATTTTTTTAATGAAGAATAATACAATAATAAGCCCAAATAAAAATAAAAAACGCTAGAAATGTAACTTAGTTGTAACTGTGCATGTCCGAAAACAAAATGGATTCCTAATATTTGGTTAGAATCCAAGTAGATAATAGTTTTAAAAATGAACACCATTGTCAAAAATACTCAGAATAATTGGCAACCATTGTTACACACTTCTGTTAGTCTACAATGTTGTGCAGATTCTCTGCTAGCTTCTAAAAGTCAGTCCCTTTAACTAGTAGCACATTACAAAAAGCTCTGTTTTCAAAAAAAATTCTGATAAGCTTCATTTGTACCATTTCTAAGTATCAACACTTCCCAAACTCACTCTGGTTGAATTCTTGCAAAAATAATGCAAGCTGAACAGCCTCTAGATGTCCAGTCCAAAACTGGACTTATCTGACAGTAACGTGAAAGGAGTAAAACACAGTGTTCTAGAAGGCCAAAAAGAACTTCTTTTTAAGGTTACAGCCTGACCGCACTTTTTTGATATCAGGGCAAACATCTGTTTTCTGTGTAAATATGGATAATTCATGACATTAGTGATAGCTTCCAGATTCTTTTATACTGGTCCAATGTCTCACATTGAGCTGGTCCTTGCTTGTTTCGTCTACTCAACTCAACTGAGTATCTGAAGTAAACTACATCAAAACTCTTAACAGTTGGAAAAAATATGTGCACTTGTCAGTAAACAACTGTCAATACTGTCATCTAACCGCAAGTGACAGGTATTTAAAAAAAAAAAAGGCTGTGTCAGTCTGAAATTGATAAGCAGGTGGTCCTAAAGAGAGATACAGCAGCATTAAGACAAACTGCAAACACATTGGATTTAGTATACATTTTAATGAGTTACAGTCTCAGCAAATACTTTAAGCTAGTATTATCTTTTTTACTCTCATGTGGCTGGGTGTATGCTATACAGTTCTCCCTTAGTGTTTTCAGGACAGTATAATTTTCAAGAACTCACATGAAAAAGAGTAATATGGGTTTAACTGTGATAACTTGTCAAGTATGCCAAAATACCCTCCTTTAAGTGCTATGGTTTTATTTTTTATTTTATTTTTTGCGGGTTAATACTTAAGTCCTTTGTGAAGCATCCAAAGAATCTCCCTTTATTTTTATGGCAACAAAAGTTATGCCAAAAACCAGAATAGGTTCTCCTAGCAGCAATTAAGACCCCCTGACCCTTGCAGTCAAGTCCAATGAGAGCTTTGATCAGATAACTTCCTGGAAGTTTTGTTTTGGATTTGAGTCAATTTAAAGAAAAAGAAGTTTTTTCTGTGTCATGTTTTAGATGTCTTTAAACCTTGTTTTTCCATGATATTCCACAGTTTGCGAAGATTAGACTGTGTGATGACATCGTCTGGCTTAAATTGGAGAGCACGGAGGTAGTTTGCTTCAGCATCTCTGAGTTTACCATTGAGATGAAGAATGGCTCCAAGATTCATCAGGGCAGCCGGATACTGGAACAAGAGAAGGGAAGGAAAAATATTGAGTGTATTTTCAGGGGGTTTTTTTCAGACAGTCTTGATCCACTTAAACAAATTATTCCCTTATGTTTGCAGGCATTTTATGGAAGCAATTTAGCAATTTAAACAAATAGAGATAACAAGAAAAAGTTTTTGAACAGCTGCTAACTGTGTACTTTGTGCTTTAAAAAGGACAGGCTCTGGTGTCTACATGCATAGACTTCTTTCTTTAATGAGAAAACACAGACACCATAAAAGCTTTACATGTGGTAACGTCGGTATACCATAGTTTCCAAGAGAAAATTAAAGTAGTCCAAGAGCGGATTGAAGAGAGGAATTTAATTTTAATTCGACCCAATGCCAATAAAGAGTTTATAATCGGTGGGAATAGCTAACACATTGGAACGCCTGCTCCTTTTTTTCTTTTAATAAAAATTTATCTTCAGATTCTAAAGACAGACATACCAATTTCAAGGATACCCATTTTAGATTCTTCTTCATATGCACTCAGTGTTATGCCAGGCTTTGATAAGTCTTTCTTTATGAATAGTTGGATAACCTTAAAATTACCACTGGCAGAAACTAATGACAAAGACGTCAAGAATGCATAAAACAATAAATTAACAAGCCCTGGGATCCTATCCTCCCCACCATAGGTACAGAGAACCACCCCAAAACTACCAGCAGCCACCCACATGTAGGTGGACCTGACAGGCACCCAAGGCAGGCGAGCAGCTCCCTCCAGTTCCCTCCACAGGGAACCCTACCCCCTTCACCCCCTAGGCCACTGGAGGTATCCCTGGGCACCTGGGGGAATGTGCAAGTACCAGTAAAGCATTACATTTCAGTGGAAGCATAGTCATTTTATTCACCACAACAATAGCTCTTGATTTTAAAGTAAAAACAGATACAAGTTGTCCAGATCACCCACTTTTTGGATCAGCCTCAGCAATGCTTGCTTCCCAAATTATGCAGATTGGAGCAAAGATGGCTAAGTTTTGTCTCTGAGGTTACATCTACACATGGGTAGACATATCCACTAGCTGTGCTTGAGCCAGTGTGTTAAAAATAGTTGTGTGGCCACGGTGGCACAGGCAGTGGCTTGGGCAAGCTGTCCAAGTGTGTAACCCAGAAGGATTTGTGCTTTGGTGGCTAGTCTGAGCCACCGGACCACACTGCTATTTTTAGCGCACCAGCTTGAGCAGAGCTAGTGTATCCATCTAACTCTGCTAGGAAGCACCCTCCCAGCTGCTGTGTAGACATATCCTGAGGAGCAAGTGGTTCAGGACACCACTCATCAGCACTCCCCCATCAGCTTTCAAAAATGTGTAAAGTTAACTGGAAACTCAGTTTCAGCCATCTCTTGTAGTTACAGTATTTATACACACTAGATGCTTGCTAATAAGATGGACATCAGAAATAATAAGGGAGGTCAGAGTGTAGTTGTAGCTGTGTCGGTCTCAGGATATTAGAGACAAGGTGCGTGAGGTAATAGCTTTTATTGGACCAATTTCTGCTGGTGAGAGAGACAAGCTTTTGAGCCACACAGAGCTAAAGAAGAGCTTCAAAAGCTTGTCTCTCTCACCAACAGAAGTTGGTCCAATAAAAGCTATTACCTCACGCACTGTGTCTCTCTAACGGAGAGAAGAGACAGCTGTCTCTCCCCTACTTGCTACATACCAGTGTTGGTCTCCCAGAGTGCAAGCCTTCCCAAGATGCTGTGATAATGGGATGGCATTCTGAGGAGGTTTTGCATACCTCCCACACAACTATTCAGGTTCACCAAAGTACCTGTAATTTGAATTTTTCCACCTGAAATTTAAACCACTCCTATCCTCTAGGAGATAGGAAAAGTATTTTAAATTCAATCTAAAGCAACGCTTGCAATAGGAAACTGAAATAGAAGACCACTGTCTGAAACAAATTCTACATTTGTATGTACTATGCTCTATGTTTGCCTCTTCTCTTCCTTCCTGCTTACTCTCATCTGTTAAGAAAACAATCCCACGTATTCTCAAGTATGAGTCAATCTTTCAGAGCCATTAGGTTTCAGTGTGTTCAAAATTAAGCAAAACAATGTAAACATCATGATGCTAACCTAACTACTTCTGGGTTTCGTTTTTCTCGCTCAAACATGACAAGTTATTTTTGCCAACCATAGCAGGAAATTCTGCTATTTGTGAAGCATCTCCAACTATTATAGTTTCCCTCTCCATTCATACTCAGTTTGGAGAAGGGAAACTGATATTTGAGCTTCTGAAGCAATCTTGTTTATGTACAATATATATATCAACCTCGTCATTACTATCTCATGCTCCACCAGTCTACAGAATCAATTATACTGAAATTAATGGAACTGTAATAAACTCTTTATAAGTAAATATATTTTGGATAATGACAAGAATGATGCAGCAGAACAACAGCTGAACAGCTGCATTGTGAATAGACGATTCTGTCAAACATAAGCTATCTGTACATTTCTTTTAAAAAAATTGAATTGTACGGTAGTGAAAGGGACCTTGATACTGCAACTTGTTGCATGTGGGCAAATCCTTGTGTCTATGTGGAGTCTATTACCTTCATCTGGACTCTGTGCAGATGCAAGGGTCTGCCTGCAAGGGTCCAATTAATTACAGGATCTGGCCCTATGATCTCTTTTTAATGGCTCAAGTTTTGTTTTTAAGATGCTACCTGAGCTTCAGTGTCAAAGCAATATGTGTCTTATAAATTGATACATCAGAAAGTGAGCTTAGAGACAGAGCAAGTAGGCAGAAAAGTCAACAGATATGGGTCAGCAATCCAGAAACCTGCTTGATTTCCACATGCTCCATCTGATAGAAAAGATATCAGAGAAACTCTTGTGGAGTACATTATGTTCTCAATCCAAACACACTCCCCACTGTATTACATTCTAAAGCATCCATCAACAGTGTGTCTGGGAAGTAGACATTTTTTTCTTGTACAAGTTCAAGTATTGCTCTCCACTCTTTCTTTTTTCTCCACAAATGTGTAATTCAATTTATTTATGTGGCAAGATATCTAGGGCTTTAAGATTAAAAGTTTTATTTCCATACACAGATGTGAAAATCCTTCTTATGCCACTTTCCTTTTAATTTGGCAAACTGATTGTGCTGTAGCAGACTAAAAAAAGTATAATTACTGATTTTGCTTTGTTTGATCTCTCTGATGGAATTTGAAATTAATTTCCCCCTGAAATTCCAGCAATCGACCAAATAGGTTTAGCCTATTAATGTGCAGGGTAAATAAATATATTTATCAATGTAAAATGAGTATGAAGTAATTCAGAAGGGAGCTGAAAAATCATGCCAACTCCTCTAATATTATAAATGAGAAAATCTGCAGGTTTCTTAAAAGAGACTAAGTGCCGACTACCTACCCACCTACTGGATTTATAGAGTACCAATCACTGCAGTATCGAGCATCAGTGGTTTATTACAACAAACTCAGGAATTTCCAGGTGACTGACTGATTGATTGATTATACATCAGTGTCATCACATCTGCCAGCTGTAACTGATGGGCTGGGGACAGAAAACCAGGAATAATCACTATCGTTTTTTCCTCGGATAGATTGTCTTTTATTAAAGACAGCTGATGAAACTTTTCAGCACGTTAACAAAGGCAGTTGGCAGCTATCACTCCAATAATACAGGACTTGTAGCACTGTATAATAAATGACACTACCTACTAATTCAGAGACTTGAAAGGAGAAACAAGCCTTCCTTCATTTCCTTTATGAGACAGATGCTTTATATCAAAAGAGCTGACTGGCAGTTCTATCAGAGTTATTAATGGTGTCTTTTTGGTCTGTTGGGAATGATCCCCCTTACTAGTGTTTTTTCTTGCGGTGTATTTTTTTTTCTTAGCTCTTTGGAGACTAACAAAGTAACTAATGAATAACAAAATAAAAATCATGTGTTTTGCTGCCCAAAGCATTGGGTATTGTTTATGTTGGTGACAATTCTTCCAAGCCTCCTCCACACTACCATAATTGGAGGATAATGTTCTGTGGCATACAAAAACAGCACCATGAACTAAACTCTTCTCTGAAAGACAGTATGGAAATCCAAAATGTTTCCAGTAAATTCCATGGACTTGCTTCATATTTACACTGATGTAACCAAGAGTAGATTTTGGCCCCGTATATATATATAACATTAACCATTATATGACAGATGCCCCAGATTTTTTGTTTGTTAACTCATGTTCACTCCATACACAAATCTCTAGCTCCAAATAGAATTAGTTAGCTTGTGCAGATATAAGTTAAAACCCTTTACAAATATATATATCTCAAGGCTGATTCCCCACTCTGGCAGAAGGTGGGGGCCCTCAAGGATTCTAAAAATTAATACTGGCTACTCCAGGCTTGTATTAAATTCCCAAGGTTACAGCTTTTCTCTGACCCTGGATGGGGAGATGCTGCCACTACCCAAGTGCAAAACCCCTTTAAGGACCCAGGAAGGCGCACTTGGGAATTCCTTCCTGTGGGGTACCCTCAAGCCCTTTCACCCCCCCCCCTCCGGGGAAGAGCTGAGAAAGAAAAACAAAGGAAATCAGCTGTTGCCACCAGCTAATTAAACAACACGTGCATATACCTTTTAGAAGACAAAAATCCAATCCTGTTCTTAAAAAAGGTACATTTTATTAAAACAAAAAGAAAGAAAATACATCTGGAAACTCAGGCTATTGCTAGATTTAAAAAGAGCAAATACAAGGATTAAGCATCAAGAATAGTTTCTTGAGGTCAAGCTTAAAGGTTGCAAACAAAACAAAAGCACCTGGGGTTAGCACAGAGGACTCCACAAGCCATAAAGAAATAAAAGAGATAAACCTAATCACATCTTCCTAGACATTTCTTCATCTACTTACATGTCTGGGGTTTTAAATGAGTAGTTTCTAGGTATGATATAGATGATTTTTCATACCTGGCCCAAAGCTTCTTACAGCATCGCTGTTCTGTCCCCTCTCCCCGGGAGAACAACCAGACAGACAGACAAAAGGGGAGTTTTGTTTCAATTTTAAAAAGTTCTAGCCTTCCCATTGGCTCTTTTGGCCAAGTGCCCACTCACTTCCTTTTACCTATGCATCAGAGTGACTTTTAACCCTTTACAGGTAAAGCAAGTAGAGAACAGCTAATAAGAGGGATTTTATAGCTAACTGGCTGACTGGGTCCATAAAAGGGAGTCCCGTCCCCCCCATTTATAATTACTTCATCTACCACTAAAACACGGCCACTTCTGGGTGAAGCAGACAACAGCACGAATCAACAGTTTGGAGACAGGTAGTGAAAACTAGAGCCCTTGTTTTGTTTCTTCAATGGAAACTCTGTCCAGCTTCCACTCTTTAGCTAATGACCCCACAGCCAGAGATGGTATAGCTTCTGAGTTTCAAATTAAATGCCTTGTTTAAAAAAATATCCTAATGCGCACTTCAGTAAATTCATGATCTGGTTCACCTCTGCACTGATTGAACTGCACTGATTTTTATCCTCCTCCATTAAAAAAAATTCACTGAGTATTCCTCCTGCTTTCCTTCCCTTGTTTCTACCCTATTGCTCCTGCCTTTAATGAATTTTGGCAGTATAATTATGTTCTTTATATTTAAAAATGACATCAGAATTGTTTACCAAATCTTGCAATCAGCATGGCCAAGCCAAAGCTGATGACATCACTGCTTTTATAGAGCAATCAAATCCATTGGCCTTCCAGGGCTGATTGGAGAATGGTTCTTTAGCTTCAGGGGTGCACAGCGAGGTGTTTTATTTTTAAAGTGCATTTAAGGCATCTTAAGTTGTTCTTTTAAGCCTTCCTGTCAAATAGAATTTCATCCTTTGAAAAGATGCAGAGATGCTGCATGCAAATA